AGAACTGATTGTTCTTTATGAAACGTGTTCTGATATTCGTATCTGAATCTTTCCACAGCGATAGTAAGAAGTTGAACAAGCAGTTCTGACATCACACACACACACACACACACACACACACACGCACACACACACGCACACATGCACATGCACATGCTCATGTCACTGAACGAATGTATTAATTCCTGTTGTATAAAGAAAGAAAGCAGACGGTGACAGAGCGCGAGTCCATGAATGTCTCCTGTGCGAGCGCTCTGTGACCGTCCTCACGAGTAAACACAACTGCAGTGTTTGTGTTTTCTAACTCAGGTGTCTCAGCTGAAGAACTGCGGGGTGATTTTTAAAAATCCCCTGTCAGTAGTCATATAAAACAGAGATTTCTGTAGTAAAAAGTGAAAAACAAACTTTTCTATCATTTAATTGTTATTTGCTTGATGTCTTTGTGTAGCATGAATGGCAATAAAGGAGGTTTTTATCACTAGGAAAAGCTGTAAAACTTATAAAAACACGGTTAAAAGTCCAAATTTCATGCTTGTGCTTCTTTGTGGTGAGCAGCAGATCCAACAAGTTAAGAATTATTAACGACTTCAAGCGAGCGTTCAGGCCTGTGAAACTCATTTAGACACTCAGACAGTGAGCCATGGCTCTGTGGTATGTGCACACATCTCTGCCATTCAAAGACACTTTGTATAACTTGATTTTATGTTATTTTTCAAATGTACATATTCTTTTTCAACAAAGCAACATTTTATTCAGTGTTTTCATGAAAATAGTATTTTTATGCATTAAGTACTACTTGGGAGAACACACCTGAGGTCTAAGGCCTGGACAAGTTTGAAACAATGGAAAATAGCAGAAAATAAAAACAAGTCTGCACTCAGCTTTGCAGTCTTCCATTGAAATGCAGTCAGATGCTGCCCACTTTACGTTTTCACAGTTGTTTGGTGGTGGCTATGGCGGAGCTGCCACAAGAGGCCAGGTGGATGAGGGAAAGGTGAGGCAGGAGGAGCAGAGGCCCGAGGCGGCCGCCGGTCCGAGTGTCAGGTGAACTGAACTTCAGGTAAGAAGTTCTGACCTGCAGTCTATCTGGGTCAGATATAAACCAAGTTTAGGTGGAGTTTATTTTCGTTGTGCTGACTTTTTACAGTCAGTTACAATAACTCATACTGTGTGCTAGCTAGCATGATGGAGTTTCTACAGCTGGGTGGTGCTATGATGTTACTGATAGTGAACTTCATTTTATTCATAAGGTTAGTTAGTAGAGTTGCCAACCGTCCCCTAAAAAACGGAATTGTCCCGCATTCAGAGAAAATATTACTCGTTTCGTATTGAGGTGAAAAGGAGCACAGTTTGTCCCGGACTTCAGCTACAATGGAAAAAGACACAAAGCTGGAGTTATTCTGTGTCTTTACACTGTCAGCTGTCTCTTCTTCTCTCATTCTCTCACCCTCCCTCTCCTGTTGCTACTTCAATCATGAAACTGATCAATGATCAGCTGATCGTCTCTCTCGTTAGTTTATCTCCCACTTTGCGCCAGAAAGAGGAAGCCAGCGGTTGTCGCGCTAAAAAACAGCAGCACGTTTAAGCTTGATCAGCTGTTGTTAGAATTTATTTAATATTACTTTCTAGTATCAGCTGATGTTTGCTGGAGCCACAGCTGTAAAGCTGCTGGTCATGATGTCGGTTTGGATATGTGGTGAGAAACATCTCTCTCTATGACAGCTGGGATAGGCTCCAGCGCTCCCCGCGACCCTGAGAAGGATAAGTGGAAGCGAATGAATGGATGGATGGATTATTAGAGTTACAGTCATACATATTTTCAGAAGCTTGTATTTAATCTCCATAAGAAACAATCATATTTAGCAGCATGAAAATTACATATTTATTTAGAAAATTACGTATTTTTATTGGAAGATCATGAGGGAGGAAAATATATGGTTCTTCAAAACAGAAAAATAAACAAAAAATCCATATTATGGAGTTGACAAGTGGTGACACACGAGTAGAAAGCAAGATATTATTTCTTTCAAAATGACCATTAAACCTTAACAACCTTTGTAATATCACAAGACACATCATAACAATTCTGTTTTTGCACATGTCAAGTTCTACATCTTAATAGTTCACCAGCAAGTAGCTGCCTACTACTCCTTGATTCCTAAAGTACTCTGTGGTTGTGTGTTTAGACCCTGCTGGACTTTCTCTACTTTTGACTCTCTGTGCTAGTTTCCAAAACCTTCTCTTCTGCCTTTTTTCTCTTCCTTTCAGATCACTGATGTTCTTTATTTTTCCCTCTTTCACTCTATTTGTCCATCTTTCCCTTTATGAGAAACTCAGGCTGGCTGTTAATTTTTTCTCTACTTATTTTTTGATCCTCCCTGTTCCTTCTCTTTTGTTCCTCTACTGACAGCTTCCCCTTTGCTATTCTAGCCTGAAATGTACCATTTTGTAATTGCTATAATTTTTCTGAAGCATATGCATTTACACATATTAAGGATGAATATTCACAACACAAATATGTATTAAGCAACAGAAATGCTATCCGGTCTTTAAGTCTGATGTCATTAGCCGTTTCCAGGTCCAAACTCCGCTGCAGATCCCAAAGTCAAAGGAACTCTGCGGCATCACTGAGAGTTACAAACTGTCTAAATTCTTTCATCTTTAATAAAATGATCAGTGTGGCTGTTTTACCAGGTGTAACATCTAGGCATCCATGAAAACAGAATATATGAAATTTAACAGAGTTAGAAGTTAGCTCGCCGGTTTCCACCTTAACACCAGCTCTGCTATCACTTCCAACATAAATGAAGACAAAACTAAACAGCAGTGGTGTTTGTAGGGTTACTGATGTTGGACTAGCTGGTATATAATGATGTGCTACGTGATTGCTAGCGACACAGCTATGTTAGCGTAACATAAACACAGTGAAACTTTTTTCCACTTGATAAAAGTTAACGTGAGGGTTCCCGATGGTTAGGCTGACAGTGATCACTGACTGTTTTTAGGGGCTTGTTCAGATTAAATAGAACAAGATAAAAAAGAATAAAAACATGTTAAAACACAACAGCCTTAATAAACACAGTAGTTTGGACCCGAAAGCAGGGTTCATACATCATCACTTAAAAGACCAGCTCTCGGGGCAGAGATAGCTCAGTAGATAGAGTGTTTGCCCCATGATCGTTGGGGGTTCAAATCCACTGAACAGCGGCTATCCTGAGATACCCTTGAGCAAGGTACCGTCTCTACACACTGCTCCCCGGGTCATGGATTGGTAGCTGCCCACTGCTTCACTGAGTAAATGGGTTAAATGCAGAGGACTAAGCATTTTCCTACAGGATTAATAAAGTATACATTAACTATGAGATTCAAGATCAGGCAAATTCCATAATATTCAACACATCTGTAAAGCAGAAATATCAGTAAAATGCACAGGAAGTAATATGACTGAAATAGTAATAAAAATAACTTAATATAATTAGTGAATAGGAAACTTTTGTGACATTTGCCAAAATCATTAGAAAAAGGGTCAACACCGTCAGGCAAAAATCCTGATGGTGCTGACAAAATACCCTACTTTCTCTCATAGCACGTTTTTCTGACAGACGCCATCTTGTTTTTCATCAGTTGCTTATGGCCTCTACTGTGGTGTTGATGCACTATGGGTGTGACACAGAGTTTTATCAGAAAGGTATGCAATAAATGAAATAAAAATTAAAAAAACTCACCAGAGCAGTGACCTCATGGCATGTGTATCAAACAGGAAGTGGTAAAGGGGTCCTCACAGTGTAAGTTACCCACAATAATTCCTGATTTTTTTGTACTTTTTAAAAAATCTGATGGTGTTGACAGAAACTTTGGACATGTTTTGTCCCTTATCTCAAGAATCACTGATATATTCTCAAAATCTTTCATAAACTGCCTGCTTTTCAGGAATGAGGTGGTAATTCGATTTTGGAGCAGTTCTTGAGCCATAACCTTTCCTCACTGTCACTGGTACAGTGCTGCACTGATGCCTTCCTGAGAGCAAATGCAAGCACAAAGAGTTAAGTCAGCAGTTTTTTGATGAGCTTTCAATATTTCCTTTAACTAACGGGGAGTGAGGTCCTTTTATCTCAGGCATGTCAGGAATACTGAAACCTGGGCTGACTGACCTGACCACAGCCTCTATGACTTCAGCATCACTGTGTCCTTTACACAAGAGGCCGACTGGCCCACAGATCTTGACACCTCTCCTTACTGTCACTTCTTGAAGCCTGTTTGCTGCTGTAGGAAACACATTTTATGGAGCTGTCAGCTGACTCGGCGATGTTCTGTTCACTCTTTGACACACCCTGCTAATTGCTTATATTAACATCTCTTGGCTGGTCTGAGAATGGGTTGGCGTTCCCCGGACAAGCTGGAGGAGGCTTCTCTGCTTGGGCTGCTGCTGTGTTACTGCTGCATTTCTGCTCATCAGACTCACCTAATGAGATGGCTGGAACTGTTTCTTTTTGGTGAGGTGTCTGATGTCAGCTGGCAGTGATGATGATGATGCCACTCGAAGCTGCTTTTTCAAGTTTGATTCAGTTAGTCTTGAGTGGAAGCGCCTCTTTGCAAAAGTCAGTTTTGAAAAGACCTGTTCAAAGTGGTACGTTGTCCCAAACAGAGATGCAAATTTCAGGGCATGTCTCGCCAGGATGGGAAAAGCCTCAGCATGAAAGTACAGTTTGTGAAAGTCCAGCAGAGAGAGGCTGTTATACTTAGCTTTGAGCTCGTAGTTGTTTTGCAGCCCAATTATTTCCACTTGGAAAGTGTCTGGCACAGATGGTTGCACATTAAACGGCGTAGCAAACATCTCCAGTTCCTTTTGGATATTCTTCACATCTTGAAACCTGTCATTAAATGCCTGAATGAGTTTTGCACAACGACTGTTGTTGTGATTTGGCGCTACACAAATAAAATTTAACTGAATTTAGAATTTGTTTGTTTTCTTTTATTGTGAAAGAACTATAGAGGAAGCGACCACCTTTTCGCACATGCGTAGAAAAACATCCTAGTTTCCGGAACCGATCAGGCAGCCAAAGGCAACAACATGGCTGCTGATAGCGATGTGAGTTTGTTTTGTAACATGTCAGTGTGGTTGTTAAGCGCGCTGTAACAATACGACAGCTGATTTTACGTTTACGTTTGTGTTTTGCAGCCCGAGTCGGAGGTTTTCGAGATCACCGACTTCACCACTGCGTCCGAGTGGGAGCGGTAAGCCAGCTGGTCATTACTCTGAAAACTAGGATTAGTCCACAGCTTTACGTGTTCCGCACAGCTCGCCCTCGGGAGATACGAACCTGCATTTATTTCTTCAGGCCTAAACATAACAACATGATTGTATATTACAGCGAACCTAACCTCAAACAGTCAAGCTAAAGAGTGAGGCTGTGTATCTGTGCATATACATTTACCACCACTCTGATATCGCACACCAGCATCACTAAAACTATAACACTGCACAGATATAGATGTGCTTCCGGTGTAGATGAATAGGAAGACTGATGCCATATGTGTGAGCCATTTTTAAATAATCTTCTGGATATTGATTACCAAACAAACTATAGCCAACTAAAATGTATTATTACAAAATGTGCGTTAAATAAAATGCATTTTCCAAGAACTGACCTGTAATTAGACACATTTGTCAATAAGGAACTCACCTGCTTGTTAGGGCTTGAGCCAGAAGTTTGAACTAGGAGTGGGTTTCCATAATCGATATTCCAATTAAAATCGATTTTAGCTTGAATAAAGTGATATTGATTCATTAAATCCTGAATCGATTTTAAATATAAATGTATTTTGCCAGAAACTCCAGAATCTCAGGTTAAACCTCACAAAACGATTTCAACAATCACCAAACAGCTGAAACAGTAAATGAGAGCAGCTGCACGGGTTCCACACAAAGACGTAAACACAGAGCGTGGACCGTTCACCCGACGGCACGTACACAGACGTATGAGCTGACCGCTCACAGAGTCTGAGCTGCAGGTTTTGTCACTCTGACCAAAATTGACTGAACCAGCAGCAAAAGAAGATCCAGACTAGGCTTCACGTTTGATACTCATCGTCATTAAATCTCTTATACTTTGGCTGGTTTGCTTCCACCACAATAAAATCACACTTCCTGTACAGCTCTCTCTCTCTGTGTGCTTCAAGAAAAGTTTCCCATCTCAAGTCTGTTTTCTGCATTATTCGCTGCTTATTATGCACCCGTCTACCGTTGTTTACAGTGCTGTTGGAGGCTGGGGTTTTTTGTTGTTTGTTTGTTTTTGTTTTTTAAACAAAACAGCAGTAAACCAGTAGGCTGTGGCTCCTTGTGTTTGTCAGGTGACAATAAACTAAATATAGCTAGATGGTACAGATTAGAGTCACTCTGTCAAAAGTCGGAATTTTCAACCTCAAAATCAGTAATAAAATAAATGGACTGGTTCTTATACAGCGCTTGCCTGCTCTCCTGGAGTACTCAAAGTGGTCTATACAACATGCCACACTCACTATTATCTATACGGTGAGCGCTTTCTAACTATCATACATATGCATTTATACTCTGATGGATGCATCGGAGAGCAAGTCGGGGTTAGTATCTTGCTCAAGGATATTTGGCATGCAAACTGGGGGAGCCGGGGATTGAACCACCAACCCTCTGATCAGCAGCTGACCTGCTCTACCTCCTGAGCTACAGCCAGCCCTTAAATAAATATATTAAATGACGAGAAACACGAGCGCACACTGAAAAAAAAACAAGGGACTCTGAGACACTGAGGCAGCTGATCTGGTTGGCCAATGTTAGCATCAGATTGATTCTTGTTTTAGTGGTTCCTTCCAAAATCACAATGCCACTAACCAAAGGTCACGAGGAGGGGGGAGGGGGGGGGCTAAATGGTTGTTTGTACCAAAGCACTGTCGGCAAATTACTGCGTTGTCATGTCCTAATATGTTGATCCATTGGTTGGTGCAGCTCGTGTGTGCAGAGGCAGTTCAAATGGCTGCAGCCTCTTTAACGAATCACAGTTAACATTTGCATTCAGTCATATTCATTGCTTACTGTAGATGTAATATTTAAAGCACAGTGTGCTTGGAGGGAAATTCATTTCTGAAGATTAGTTTCAGTGGTTATTTAGCATGAACCAGACACTGTGCATGTATGCTGGGCTAATCTGTTCATCTGCCTGAAGTTTTGTGTCCAGAGTGGAGGAAGTGCTTAATGATTGGAAGCTGACAGGGAACACTGCACGGAAGGTTTCTCCAGAGAAGGTATTTTTTACTCATCAAATCTTTACATGCGTGTGAAGTATGCAGAAAGGAAGTATCTCACCTTCATCGTATGATGCTGCATTATCTGAACACAGGGGAATACACCAGTGGAACCTGGGCGGAGAAGTCGCAGGAAATTAATTTTGCTGACTTCAAGTTCTACATAAGCCACTACTTTCTGAAACAAGAGTGTGAAGAGGATGATGGGAAGGACAACCTCGAGGAAGGTAGAGTCACTTTGTCTGCACTATTATCAACATCAGCTTTTCATTGACTGTTTGTTGTGAATGATGTCGACAGTGTTGGACAGTCCTGCTCAGTGCACATGCAGGCTGTGGTGGAAGGACCGTCACGTTTCAGAATTTTGTTATCAGAACGATGACAAGCTGACATCCAGACTCCACACCCTTTATTATGTAGCTTTAGTTTTTATTATCCTGCAGGTTTGCAGAAATATTTATTATTATTAACATCATCCCAGGGCACAGCTGTGGGCCTCCATCCTCTGGTTTTCATGCTTTGACTCTGGCTTGTACCACAGCCTGCTCCCACACCACTGTTGAAACACTGATGAAGTAAACCTTGGAAAAAGCACGAGGTTTGGATGTATCCGCTTAAAAAAAGGAATAAACACCTTTTTTCTTTGTACAAATAAAAGCAGGCAAAGCAGAAATGTTACCTGGATACTTGCTTATTTGGTTGTGAATGGCAGTGGGCGTCCACTGAGGAGGGTAGCAAGGCTCCATCTTTGAAATTGAACGCTGCACTGAGGTCTAGCAGGACAAGCACAGAGATGAGTCCACTGTCAGAGGCCATAAGAAGATCATTTGTAACCTTCACTAAAGCTGTTTCTGTGCTGTGATGAGGCAAGGCAAGGCAAGTTTATTTGTATAGCACAATTCAACAACAAGGTGATTCAAAGTGCTTTACAGAGACATTAGAAACAAGAACAAATAAAAAGCATGATTTAAAATTGAATAAAACAAGCAAATAAACTAACTAACTAATTAACAAACAAACAAACAAACAAACAAACAAACAACAGTATATAAAATCAAAACAGATAAAATCAGAACAGTAGATAAAATCAGTAGTTAAATGTAAGTTTTGAAATTTAAGCTTAAAGTGTGGATTTGGTGCTTTATTCAAATGCAGCTGAGAACAGGTGAGTCTTCAACCTGGATTTAAATAAACTGAGTGTTTCAGCTGATCTGAGGCTTTCTGGGAGTTTGTTCCAGATATAAGGAGCATAAAAGCTGAATGCAGCTTCTCCGTGTCTGGTTCTGACTCTGGGAACTGATAAAAGACCGGATCCAGATGACCTGAGGGATCTGGATGGTTCATACTGGGTCAGGAGGTCATTGATGTATTTTGGTCCTAAACCATTCAGAGCTTTATAGGCCAGCATCAGAACTTTAAAGTCTATCCTCTGACGGACAGGCAGCCAGTGTAAGGACCTCAGAGCTGGACTGATGTGGTCCACTTTTTTGGTCTTAGTGAGGACTCGAGCAGCAGAGTTCTGAATGAGCTGTAGTTGTCTGACTGATTTTTTAGGTAGACCTGTAAAGATGCTGTTACAGTAATCAAGCCTACTAAAGATGAATGCATGGACTAGTTTTTCCAGGTCCTGTTGAGACATCAGATCTTTTATCCTTGATATATTCTTGAGGTGATAGTAAGCTGACTTTGTTATTGTCTTAATGTGTTTTTCTAAGTTTAGGTCTGCATCCATCACTACACCCAAATTTCTCGCCTGGTTTGTGGTTTTTAGATGTATAGATTGAAGTTCTCTGGTGACCTGTAATCGTTTTTCTTTGGCGCCAAAGACTATTACCTCAGTTTTGTTTTTGTTTAGCTGGAGAAAATTGTGGCACAACCAGTCATTGATTTCCTCAATGCATTTACCAAGAGCCTGTACAGGGCCTCGGTCTCCTGGTGACATTGTGATATATATTTGTGTGTCATCTGCATAGCTGTGGTAGTTTATTTTGTTGTTCTTTATAATCTGTGCCAGTGGGAGCATGTAAATGTTAAACAGAAGGGGTCCCAAGATGGAACCTTGGGGAACTCCACATGTGATACTTGTCTGCTCAGATGTGAAGTTACCTATTGATACAAAGTATTTCCTGTTTTCTACGTATGTTTTGAACCAGTTTAGTACAGTTCCTGAAAGACCTGTCCAGTTCTCCAGTCGTTTGAGTAATATGTTGTGGTCAACTGTATCAAATGCTGCACTGAGATCCAGTAAAACTAGGACTGACATTTTTCCACTGTCTGTATTCAGACATATGTCATTAAACACTTTGGTCAGAGCGGTTTCAGTGCTGTGGTTCTGTCTAAAACCTGACTGGAAGGCATCGTAGCAATTATTCTGTTTTAAGAAGTAACTGAGCTGTTGAGAAACTGCTTTTTCAATGATCTTACTTAAAAACGGGAGATTTGAGATCGGCCTGTAGTTGTTCATTTGTGTCTTGTCAAGATTGTCCTTTTTCAGTATAGGTTTGATTACAGCAGTTTTTAGTGGTTCTGGAAACACACCTGATAATAAAGAAAAGTTGACGATCTGTAACAGGTCTGACTCTAAAGTCTTTGAGACCTTTTTGAAAAAACTTGTTGGCAGGACATCTAAACAGCAGGAGGAGGAGTTCAGTTGACCTAAGACGTCCTCCAGGTCTTTGCTGTTAATAGGGTGAAACTGTTTCATGGTGTTTAAACAGTTTTTCAGAGGACACAGTACATAGTCTGGATCTGCTGCTGATGTACCAATTGCTTGTCTAATCTTTTGAATTTTTTCAGTGAAGAATTTGGCAAAGTCATTGCAGGCCATGGTCGAATGAAGTTCAGCTGCCACTGACACAGGAGGGTTTGTTAGCCTGTCAACTGTAGAAAATAAGACCCGAGCATTATGGCTGTTTTTAGTGATGATGTCAGAGAAGTAGGACCTCCTTGCATTCCTCAGTTGTAAATTATAATTGTGAAGTTTCTCTTTATAAATGTCATAATGAACCTGGAGGTTTGTTTTTCAGCTCTGAAACCTGACTGAAACTCTTCAAATAAGCCTCTGCAGATGATCTGTTAGCTGTTTGACAACTACTCTTTCAAGGATGTTTGATATGAAAGGAAGGTTGGAGATTGGCCTGTAAGTCAGCTGGGTCTGTCCTGTACATCACTAGAGACACCAGTGATGTACAGGACAGTAAATTACTGCCACCTTGTGGCCGCAACAGAAATGAGCATCTGTGAAAGTCAACCCAGTACAGTTATTTTGGTAGATGTCCCACTTTAATAATCATATGCACCTCAGATGGTGTTTAAAATGAACAATGTTTTGACACAGTTCTTCTATTGGCAGATGCTATACCGTTGGCAATGCAGGATCTTCTCTGTATGAACAATGATTTCCCTCCACGAGCCCACTGCCTGGTCAGATGGTAAGTTTAGTCTTTACTTTTTATGCTAAAAAACTGCTTCACTCAAAGTGGAGTGGAGTCATTTATCTGCACGCCTCACAGCGAGAAGGTCCCGGATCAAATCTGTGTGGAGATGCATCCTGTAACTGTGCCTGCGCAGGTTTCCTCCACAGTGCAAAGATGTGCATGTTAGGTTTGTTACGGATTCAAATATTGGGGATGGATACAAGAGGAAAAACCAAAATAACAACACTGGTCCAGCCGGGTTGAGTCAAACGATGATTTTAATGATCACACGCGTGGGAGATGGACACCGTACGCAGACAGCATCAGATCTCAAAATGGTGGAGCATTGATCAAACTCTTATAGCCTCTAGTGGCCCCCACCTAATCATAAAGCCTAAACATTCACATTCTTTCCCTCACACGGCGCCTAAGCTACGACCTTGGCTCCCTGTTTATCTGCTCCTGCTGAGATGGGGCAGAAAACCTCTCCAGTATGTTCTGTTCTCTTCTAATCAGACAAATAAGGCGATGACTTTCTGCGAACACTATTTCTTATAACTCAGCAGTATAATGCATCATAAAACAATATCATTCATTCACAATAAATCAGCAGTCTAATGTAATGCAAATCAGTTTAACAAATGCAATAGTTATCAGCTTCGTCTAATTCAGGAGAATAATGCAAACTAAAACTACATAATAATTCACAATCTTTAATTAGGGGTCTAACATGGCATAAAATAATATTATAATCCCACAGGTTAAATGGATATGTGAGCTAGATACAGTGCATAGCATAAAGTGCAACATGAACATATAGTTTAAGTGTGTCTTTCATTTAAAGTCCAGAAAGTGCAAGTGTTTCTGGCTTTGAGTTGCCAGAAAGACTTCGTAAATATAAGCAGAGAATCATAGATGCGTCTACAAAGAGGTAATTCAGACAATTTCTGAATATTTTATTTTTCTTCAGAGTGTAATAGTAAAATAATATCCCATTGATTAGTGATGGTCTTTATTGTTACCAAGGGATCTAACAGCATACAGAATGAAGCAAATATTTCTTCCATCCTATGTGGATAAATGTCTGCTGTGATGCTGTATGTCTTGGTAGGTTTGGCATACGAGAGTTTGTGGTCATCAGCCCTGGAACGAACTGTGAGGCCGTCATCAGTGAGTCGAAATGCAACCTGCTTCTAAGCTCCATCTCCATCTCTCTGGCCAACAGTGGCTGGTAAGTTACGGTCATCGCACTGCGGGAAGGTTTTGTGAGCACATTAGTGCCTCCTGACGGTGTGATGTGTGTTCATGTTTGAGTTTTAAGTGTGCAACTGAAGGAGTGATGGTTCACCCTTTGAAGGCGAACCATTTCTCTCTCACTATCGATAACGCCACAGTTTTCCCTTCTCCTCAGGTTAAGAGCTTTGGTGTCATCCTAGACAGTTCACTTTCCTATAAATCTCACATCAATAATTTCACCTATTCTGCCTGTTTCCATCTATGCAGCATTTTTTTTTTTTGCCTGTCCCATTTGGTTCTTTAGCCGTCAGAATTGTTGTCTGAAGACCAACAAGGAGACCCAATGGATTTACTTTGCCAAATGGATCATCGTGGCATTGCCGTACTGGTCCATTTGATCGACCTTTGTTGTTGTTATTATTTATTTTATTTTATTTTCAGTTGTTACAGACGGGACAGACATGACTGAGGGACAGGAAAGGGAGAAAGAAAGAGGAAGGAAAAGAAAAACAGAAGGGGAGAGGGACAGTGAGAGAGGGCACTTAAAAAGAGAAAGAAGAGAAAAAAATCTTCTGGATCACCTGTTGAGAGAAAAAGAAAAGAAAACAAGCAAAAAAAACAAAGCAACATACTAAACACAACACCATCGCATTAATCTAGCTAAGTGTAAACAGCAGTAAATACTAAATATTGAATGTTGTTGTGCAGCACGCAGGACGACAGCGCACAATGTGCTTGGAAATAGCACCAATAAAGGTGTAGTTTATGTCTATGAACAGTGAACACCCGTGTGCACACCTGTGTGGATCAGCGCGCTTGTATTCAAAAGGTTTCCCCATGTAACGGTCTGCAAGAGGATGTAGAGAGCCATAGCCCATTCTCCAGGGCATGAAGCAGGCATGGAGGAGATCCAGGCTCCAGACATCCAGAGGCCCCAGAGTGTGAGAGCCCAAGGAGGACCACCGGAGGGCATCCGTGCCACCCTCCTGGGAAGAGCTGAGGAGAGCCCCAGACGAGGGGTCACCCCAGTAGCCACGGAGCAGAAGCCAGAGGGGGCTGCAGTGGCGTGCCCACCGGCTCTGCCGGCAGCCAGCTGTGCCAGAGTGAACCGAGCCGGAGGCCCGAGGGCCCCCTTTGCCCAGGAAGAGGCCCCGGTGGCCAGCAGAGAACGGGGGTGTGTGAAGACCCCAAACCTCCCTCCTCTCGCTCATGTGTAGTGTTGCTGCGTGTTGTTCTAAGGTGCATTTAAAACATGGGAGAGCATGGTGCTGCTGCCAGAGAGCAGCAGGTGTTAGCACGGCCCCTCCCGAGAACCCTCAATGTCTACATGGATTTAAAGTTGAGAGGTGGGGTATGCAGCGTTAACAGATTACGTCCTTCTCTCTCCACCCAGTCTTCGTCCATTCTTGTCCACAGTCTCGTTACCTCCTGTATTGACTACTGCAATTCTCTTTTGCATGGTCTCCCCCATAAATCCCTCCATAAGCTTCAACTGGTTCAGAACTCTGCTGCTCGCATTATCACCAGAACCCCCTCCTACCAGCACATCACCTGTTCTTCAGGAACTTCACTGGCTCCCAGTGGAGTTCCAGATAATATACAAACTTCTGCTCACCTTCAAGGCCATTCATAACCTCGCTCCTCCTTACCTTTCTGACCTGTTCAGCACTACCTGTTCTGCCCGCTCACTTCGATCTTCTTCTTCTATCCAGCTTTCTGTGCTTCCCTTCCGCCTCAGCACCATGGGAAGCAGAGCTTTCACCTGCTCTGCTCCCAGGCTGTGGAGCTCTCTGCCCCCACATATAAGAAACACTGGTTCTCCCCCAGTTCAAATCTCAACTCAAAACCCATCTGTTCAAATCTGCATGTTCACTGTGAATCCACTGTTTGTTCATTTTATCTCTTACTTTTGTTTTTATTGCTCTTCATTGTGTCAGTGTTCTGTTATGTGTTTTTATCTATTGTACAGTGTCCTTTGGTGTCTTGAAGGGCGCTTTATAAATGCAATTTATTATTATTATTGTTATTCTACTGGAAGAAGAATTTTACATTTAGATTGGCTTTTATTTTTTATATTATTTCACTATCAATCTGAAAAATGTTAAAAAGCCTTTAAATTAACATGGTCTCATCCACCCCATGCCCCCCCTTTAGACTCACCCCTGTTTGCTGCAGGTAAAATGCGACGGTTGCAGGCTGTGACATGTAAACATGGTATCAGACTAAATGAATAGTTCATCAACATATTTGAATGTAGCCTGACTTCTGTAGCTTTCCTGCTGTGATGGAGGACGAGCTCTTTCAGAATAAAGGTTTTAATGATGATCACGAGAGCAGCGCTGCTGAAAGAAGTTTTCTTTCACTTTACCTGAGCTCACCGTCTCAGTAACGCCTCTTTGCTCCTGTCAGTGTGTAAACTTCAGCTCCACGTCAAACTGCAGCGTCATCATCACTGCTGCTGTGTTATCAGTGTTTTTGTTTAACACTGGGGATGTGTGGGCTTAATGTTGTCAGACCTTTTATTCACATGCTGCTCCTAAATAAGTTTGGTTTGCATGGCTGTTTATACTCACAAATGTGGCTGAATAATGTATATGTGTTAGTCCCCGTAGGCCGTAGCGAAATAACTCTGCATTTAACCCATTCACCCAATGCAGCGCCTGGGGAGTGTGTAGGGACCTTGCTCAGGGGTACCTCAGCTTAGCTTTTCACTTGATTCAAACCCCCAACCTTCTGATCCCGGGGCAGCCACTCTACCTACTGACCTATCCCTCACACACGTTTACATCGTTGAACAAGTCTGTGCTACAGAGCACGCTGCATCGCAGCATCGCAGCAAAGAATTGGTTTGGAGGATTTTTTTTTAGAAGTGATGAATTGCTGCAGCCCCAGATTACGCCAATGAACACAACATATTAAAACCAGTCTGTGTAGCACTCAGCGGTCCGTGCAGTGACAGTGCTGACATACATGCCAGTACAATGCAGTTCTGCAGCTTGTTGCTCTGTGTTTCAGTCGGACTGTTTAGTTTAGCTGGATTGTTGCTGGTTGAGAGAAACTGAAGCTGGATGTCGGGCGTGTACCAGAGATCCTGCTAGTAATGCCTTCTGCTGTTTATCTTGTGTTCAGTCAGGTGCCGATGTTTGTGCAGATCCAGCAGAAGTGGAGGCGGATGTATGCCGGAGAGTGCAAAGGACCAGGCGTGCGCACCGACTTTGAGATCGTTCACCTGCGTCGAGCGCCCGTGCAGTACAACCACCTGTCCGGCCTGCTCGACATCTTCAAATCTAAGATAGTAAGTGCTCTGGAACAAACATCTTTATATGGATCATATTTCAAGGTTGTTTGTTTGTTTTTAATAAAGAAAAATTAAAATTGTGCAGCCACAGAGCGTCATGTACCCATGTTCTACAAGTATCACCTCAGCATCCTGTTCCAGACCATTTTAGGACGATGTGAATCCTGTTAAATGCAACTAATAATCATAAAAGCATCCACGAAGTGCATGTAAATGTATTTTCTAAAACATTTATTCATCTGGTTTTTCCTGCTCATGTACAGTCTCTCCTCCTCCTCCTCCTCCTGCTGTGCTCTGACAGTCACACAAAAACTGTATTCAACTTGAAAATAACACAAACATCTTATCTTATAATAAGAATATATTCTTGTAATAGTTCGTCAAAGAGCAGGTTGATAACAGTACAGCACACTGCTTAGTTATGTGAACATTGGGAAAACAGAAGAGGAAGAAGAAGACGTCTAATTCTGTGTAAATTCGGTTTCTGGATTTTTGTGGAGTTAATTTGTGAATAAAATAAAGACTGTTAGGAAGTGGATGTTGGTTTAATGATCAGTTTGTTTGAACTTTGTTTATTCCTATTCCTGGAAACACAATGGATTCCCAGACATCACGTTGTTTAACCCTTTCATGCACAGTGGTCTGCAGCTATTCAAAGGCTGTTTTCTTGTATTTGTGTTGATGTTGATGGTAAACTTGCACAGAAACACTACACACTGATGTCTCCATACCCTTCATAAGTCAAAACCGATGTTGTCCACCTAAGTGGACATTTAAAAAATGAAGTTCAAAAATCTTATATTCATTCCTAAAGAAGAATAAAATCCTGATTGATGTTGTCATCATCCACACATGAGGGTTAAATGTGTTCAGTATGTTCCCAGAAACAGCCGACAATGACGAGGTGTAATCCACGCCTGTACAGAGAGATTAATGCTGCAGCTTGTTACCATAAACATGAGCTGATGTCTTCCTGTTGTCATCAGGGTTGTTCCCTGTTCCCTCTGCCTCCAGTCAACATCGCCATTCGCTTCACCTACGTGCTCCAAGACTGGCAGCAGTATTCATGGCCACAGCAGCCTCCAGGTAGGCAGTACATGTTATGGTATTAATACACAAATAAAAAAAATGTAATATTATTATTAAGAAATTATTAAATTTTTTTAAATACATGTCAGCAAGTGGCTGACATCCAGAAACCCTGCCAGTGGCTTTTAGGAGTCGTGTGTGTGATGCAGGTCATGTTGTTGTTTCCTGTGGAACGATTGTACCTGCTGGTTCCAGGTCGTTCTTCTGATAAGTCTTTTCACTCGTCTGTCTGAAATCGTGTGGGGAGCGCTTGGTCGTGGCTGGTTTATCGTAAATAAATAAAAACCCTGCAGGGGCAACGCCAGGTTTATGGCCCCAACAGTGCTCACTGGAACCTTCAGTAACTTAGAAATTCTTCTGTAGCCGATGCCATCAGTCTTAAGTGTGCAAAGGTCTTGAGAGAGCTTGTTGGTTTTACCCATCATGAGATGCTTCTTGTGTGAAACCTGGCTAATGAGGCCATAGTTGGGACTGAACCGGCTGATATTAATTTGCACTAAGTGGCAGGATTGCTCTGTAATTACTCATAAATGTGTCTTTTTGCACCTTTCTTTCTGTCCAATACATTTCCCCCGTGTCATTCTTCATTGTTAGATGTCATGTACGGACATCTATGGTAGCGCTGGGTGATATGAGGAAAATGTAATATCACAATATTTTTTTGCTATATCACAAAACACGAAATAAATCACGATATGTTTAAGTTATTTTCAACCATATAGGATCTAAATTTGCACTTATTCAAACCGACCATTCAGGATGGTTTTCTATTGTCAACATAAAAATGATCTGAATGAACTGAAATGTTTTCTTTTAACCATCAGCTGCACACAGAGGATTTTCACTGATTACAGTATAATCACAGTAAGTCTCTTTCTGTGGTCAACACTAGACTTTAACATCAAAAGATCACAGCAACAAAAAACGACGTCAAGAAAAGAATCATGAGTCAAAATAAAACGACTGAAATGAAAAAGCTGCTCTGTTGTTCCTATAAAAATGACAAAAATAAAAAAAATGGATGACATCAAATTACAGAAACAAGTCGAGACAGTGACTATAAAACAGTTTATTTAATGTTTGCTTGGTGTGCAGGGAGACGTTGACATGCATGGTTTAAAACATCATTTCTTTTGCAGCGAGATTCATTCTCTCACCGTCTGAAACTCCTGATGTCGCCATATTTTTACCTGTTCAATTCCATTTTATTTATACAGCACCAAATCACAACAACAGTCGCCTCAAGGTGCTTTATATTGCACAGTATCGTACAATAATAGATACAGAGAAAAACCCAACAATCATATGACCCCCGATCAGCAAGCACTTTGGTGACAGTGGGAAGGAAAAACTCCCTTTTAACAGGAAGAAACCTCCAGCAGAACCAGGCTCAGGGAGGGGCGGGGCCATCTGCTGTGATTGGTTGGGGTGAGAGAAGGAAGACAGGATAAAGACCTGCTGTGGAAGAGAGACAGAGGTTAATAACAGGTATGATTCAATGCAGAGAGGTCTGTTAACACATAGTGAGTGAAGAAACACCCAGTGCATCATGGGAATCCCCCGGCAGCCTACGTCTATTGCAGCATAACTAAGGGAGGATTCAGGGTCACCTGGTCCAGCTCTAACTATATGCTTTAGCAAAAAGGAAAGTTTGAAGCCTGATCTTGAAAGTAGAGATAGTGTCTGTCTCCTGAATCCAAACTGGAAGCTGGTTCTACAGAAGAGGGGCCTGAAAACTGAAGGCTCTGCCTCCCATTCTACTTTTAAATACTCTAGGAACAACAAGTAGGCCTGCAGTGTGAGAGCGAAGTGCTCTAATAGGGTGATATGGTACTACAAGGTCATTAAGATAAGATGGGGCCTGATTATTTAGGCAGGCATCGAACTCCAGGCCTCGAGGGCCGGTGTCCTGCAGGCTTTAGATGTGTCCTTGATCCAACACAGATGATTTAAATGGCTAAATCACCTCCTCAACATGTCTTGAAGTTCTCCAGAGGCCTGGTAATGAACTAATCCTTTGATTCAGGTGTGTAGACCCAGGGTGAGATCTAAAACCTGCAGGACACCAGCCCTCGAGGCCTGGAGTTGGCAAAGCCTTATTTAAGACCTTGTATGTGAGGAGCAGGATTTTGAATTTTCACCATCGTACGTAGAAAAACTCACAATACATCGAGTTTATTTGTTATATTGTTTGATTTAAAGTTGTTTCTCTGCATGTGTGGATTGGATGGGTTGTTACCAACATCTAGTGAGAATTTCATGTGAACATCACCTTTAGAAATATATGTAGACAATTGGTGATGCGTTCAATATGGTTTACGTGTGTGTGTGTGTGTGTGTGTGTCACAAACAGAGGTTGGTTGTGTTACTGAACTCCCTGACTGTGAGGAAGCCCTGGGTGGGCTCTGGTGACAGACTGCCTGCTTTGCTGTTTGGACGATTATTCAGTTTTTTGTGTTTTTTTCTGGCAGATTTTGATGCGCTCCTTGGTGGCGAGGTGGGGGGGGTGGAGTTTGGGAAGTTTCCATTCGGTGCCTGTGAGGAGCCAATAAGGTAAAAACTGATGATACTTTCTAAAAATTACAGTCACATGTTTTCTGCACACTGAGCAGTCGGTGTGACGGCTTTGTTGCTTATCACGTGGTCTCGGAGCCTCTTCATCATCATCCTTATCTGTGGGTCTGAGGAAGACTTACTTTGTTTGCTGTTACTGTGTTTCTGTTTTTCACTTTTGTAGTGAACTTCATCTCGCAACAACCTGGCCTCATCTTACTGAAGGCATAGTTGTGGATAATGACGTGTACAGGTAAGGCTGTGTGTGCAGTGTTCTGGTGTACTGTACTAAGAGCAGCTGCAACATACCAGCTAGATCGTTTTGTTACCTCGCAACACTCAGCCTCACTGCAACTGTGTCACCAGCTGAGGCACGAGGAAACCGATGGGCTCAAATTGTGGTCATAAATATTTTGTACTTGTGAGTTCAAACTCACACACTGCCAGGGGACCTGAGCGCAGAGTTTTACACACAGTTTGTTGCTTTGTGTCTGTAAGACGACCTTAACAAAAAAAAAATTGTAACTCGTGTAAATATTTTTTACAAACACACAAATTCTCATCTGTAGATGCACAAACATAAAATCTTCAGATATTCTGGCTTACAAGGTTACAAAGCTCACAACTACACATTTGATTTACAAGTACAAATGACCACAATCTGAGCCCATAGAAACCAGCACTAATCAGCCAGTGACCACAGCTGATGCTAGCGTGGGCTAAAGTGCACCACACTGAGTGATGAGGTACCCGGGCTAGAAAGACAACTCCAGTTTGAGGCGCATGTCCTCCTGACATTTGGTGTTTGTGTTAACGATCCAATGGAAAAGCTTTGATGGGAGTGAGCTGTTCACTTGCACTATAGCACACAAAACGCTGCGCTGAGCACTGAGTGTTGCATCCGTGTACACACTGCATTGCTTCATATTTCACTCGTAAAGTAGGAAATGGGTGGAGCAGTTTATTAAAAGGGTAAACGTACATGGGTTTGATTGTAAGGCCCAAACAGAGCTGGCACAGGTCTAACAAGCATGAAGGGACAAACTGAGTGTGACATAAGGAAATGCTTACATGTGTAATTATCTTGATTACTGGTGAAGGACTACGTCACATGTAATCAAACATGACTCATTACTTATAAAAACCCTTTAACTAAAAGTGTATCAGAAACTCTCCTCTACTGTTTACTCTGGTTATCACCCAACAGTGACCTCGACCCTCTTCAAGCTCCTCACTGGTCAGTTCGAGTCAGGACGGCTGAAAATCCTCAGTGTTTACTGGGTAAGTTAAACTGATCAGTGGGACACTCAGGGGCAGAGACCATGATGCTTTGGGGCAGACCACAGAGGTTTTACTAGTCAGTACAGATTTCAAACACACCGCTACATACTACATTAAGGTCAGTGCATTAAGTGCACTGATCTTAATGTTGTATTTTTCTGGTTGCTAATACACTTGGATCCATTACAAACATACACATTGTTGTGTGATGTGTGAAGACTTTTTATGGCTTTGTTTTTTGTCCGAACAGCACAGAGGAAACTATTTCTAAGCTAAAATTCATGCATCAAATGATACGCAGCAGATAAGACGGATGTAATCAAGCTACCGATAGAAAGAACATAGTAAAGGACAAATAAAGTGTCTTTTTTTCCTCATTGTTCTATGTGTGGGCCTCCTACTTCCTCCCACAGTCCAAAGACATGCAGTTAGTGGGGACAGGTTCATTGGGGCTCTAAATTTCCCACGGTGTGAATGTCTGTCTCTGTGTTTGCCCTGCGACAGACTGGCGACCTGTCCAGGGTGTGCCCCGCCTCTCATGACAGCCCCAAGCACTTTACATGTGATGTAAAGTGGACTTTTATTTTGTTGCCACGTCCATGATTTAGAAAATGTTACACAGATGTTGTCCTGCTTCGCTGTGCTGAAGCGTGTGCTTCATGAAAAGTTTGAATAAGAAAATATCAGGTCAGTAACTGTTTGTGTTCCCTGTAGGTGAGGCTGTGACAGAGCTCTTTAAACTCTGCTGTAGGACTGAGTCTACAGAGGAGATTCCTGGAAGAGGATACGCTGAAGATGAGGGCAAAGGTCAGGTTCCTGGCTTTACTTGTTGAGTGACCATACTGCATTCTGGAAACGTGCGTAGCTTACTGGGAGATCTGGGCATCTGTGCTGACCCAGGCCTCAGCAATTGAACAGAAACTCTTGGATGTGTTTGTCGTCTGTAGAAAACAGTGATATCAGCTCTGCTTTGTCCAAGCTGACCGAGCCAGCAGCAACTGTGCCCATTTCCAAACTGTCTGTCTCCAACATGGTGCACAGTGCCCGGAAGCACATTTGCCGCCATCGACGCATCGATGAGTCGCCCCTTAACACCGAGATACTCAATTCTGTCCTTCTGGTAAGAGTTAATCATGTAACCTGTTTAAAAGGCATTAACTAGTCGGAGTTGACTAATACTTGACTGAGTTTTAATGGTTTCAGCTCATTTTATGAGGAAACTGATTCTGACAGAAGAGGTGTGGATCCCGTGTTAGGAGACGGTGAGCGTGATATTCAGAGCAGCAGAGACCTCGGAGCGTGTGGTAGTTTGAGTCGTACTGATGTGGCTCCTCTGCTTCTTGTCACAAACAGTTTTTCCTTCCTGGTTACTGTTGAGCCCGTCACACTCAGCAGCTCGAGCTAAGACAGCCTTGAATCTTCAAACTACAGCCGTAATTGCATTTATGTCTTAGAGTGCTGGCCACAGATATTGATCCCATCTGACAGCAGCTCAGTAAAGCACAAGAGCGTCATCTTAAACAGGATATCAGGCAGCGTTCTTATTTTTATTGTCTACTTCTGGTCACATCCTGCTTTTGCCACTGAGCGATCAGCATCCTGTGTTTTATCATGAAGTGATGACTACGTGAGCTCCACTTGTTTAATTCTTCTAACATCTATAAAACAACAGAGTTTCTAAATGACAGACTTATTTATGTGTTTGTGTCTCAGTATCTGTTTCCAGATGCTGCTGTGGAGAAGTCTGACTGTAAGAATAACACTCAGCTGTCCAACTCCAGTGGGACATCGGAGCAAGGGAAAACCTCTGATTATGTATGTTTGCCTCTTCACCACTCGCACACTCAAGGTTACACTCAGGTCAGGTCCAATATAAGTTTCAGAGTGAAGACAGGCTCAGTGCTGTCAGTACTTTGTCAGGATTTTTATTAGAATGTATTAAATTTAGTGTCCTGCTGTTTGATTTCATGCTGGTCTTTTCCCTCGTTGTAGAACCTTTTCCACCAGCTGAAGTCAGCCCCCAGTGACAGTCTGACCTACCGTCTGGCTCTGTGTGTGTGTCTGGTCAACTATTACTACGGTGGGCTGCGGGCTGTTGGACACCTCTGGCAGGAGTTTGTCCTTGAGTTGCGTTACCGGTGGGAAAATAACCATGTTATTTGTGGGTGGGTACCTCACAGGCTCGTGCTGCTTTGATTTTAAAGATGTCACACATATTAACATTTTCATTTTATAGCAGGTAAAATAAGTAGGGATGGGTATCGAAAACCGGTTCTTGTTGAGAACCGGTTCCCACTGTTTCAATTCCTTGGAAGTGTTTGCCATTTTTGCAAACGATTCCCTTATCGATTCCAGTCGCCCCGAATGACGTCACCACGTTGCGGAGCGTCATTTACCTGGCAGGAAACATGGCGGCTCAAATGCTCAAAAGTTTGGTTAGACTTTACGAGAACGGATGACAACAGGGCAACTTGCAATACTTGCAAAGTGGATGTTTCATTTAAGGGAGGAAACACTACGAATATGCAAAAGCATTTGCTCACAAAACACACGATGACCTTAAATGAATGTCGTGTTTTTAATTCCGCTCCGGACTCGTGAATCTCAACCCAGCAGCAGCGGTAACGTTTGCACGTCCTCTCCCGTTAATGCGGCAGGTAAATAATCAACTAACAGTGCATATTATGTTAGCGCGATCTGCCTTATTACAAAACCATTACTGTGCATTTAGTGACCATGATGAGACAGACAGAGTCTGGCTCAGATGCTGGCAGCTCTCGCTGCAGTCTACCGGCAGCGTCTCCTTTCAGGCCAGGATAGACGAATGTCACCGAGCAGTGTCTAAGTTTGTGGTCAAAGGCTTGCACCCATTTGCCACAGCAGATGCCCCCGATTTTCGGTAAGTGAATGTGTTTAATTGTAGGCAGGGACATTTCTGGATATTCTTGTGTAATTGCTACAGAATAATTTATGTTATACTTTGTTATTGCTACAGAAGAACATTTACAATTTTTTTTCCTGGGGACCCTGGGACACCCCATTGAAGAGCCGTAGGCTGTGGATCATTAAGATCTCACTGTTGGGTTTGTAAGGCCATGTTACTCCTAAATTTCTATCTTGTTCAAAGAGAAGATATAAAACAAAGTTCTAAGCTAATCGACCTTAGTGTTCTCCTTTTTTAAAGAGAATCGATAAAGAATCGAATCGTTAAACAGAATCGAAAATGGAATCGGAATCGTGAAAATCTTATCGATACCCATCCTTAAAATATGTATTGAACACGTCAGCAGTTCTCTAAGCAAATATATTTCTAAAGGTGCTTTGATGTGAAATTATCACCAGATGTCGGTAACACAGGGACATTAAACACACAGACATTTATTTATTACTTTATACAAATGTTGGTGATGACAGTTCATGGCAGCTTCTGTATGGAGAAACCAGTCCCATCATTGCTCATGACTTTGACCCACTCACCACACAAACGGTCTCTAAATCCCGAATGCTCCGTGGATCCTTCCCACAGATTCGGCTCAGGTGATTGGCTGGGCCGTTCCAGCAGCTTTACTTGATTTCTCTGAAACCAACGGTTTCCATTGGCTGTGTTTGAGATCATGGTCTTGCTGAAACATCCATCCTTGTTTCATCTTCATCATCCTGGTAGATGGCAGCAGATTTTAATCAACAATGTCTCCATTCATCCTTCCTGGAGTTATGTTTAATGGCTCAGTCCCTTTTGCAGCTTGTTATAAAGTTTTTATGCATAACTTTTCTAAGCAATCACACATTTTTTTGGGAACATCAAAATCATAATGCTCCCACCTCCAGACTTCAGTGTTGCTGTGGTGTTTTTGGGATGAAGCCACCCAAACACGGTGTGTTTACAGCATTCAAAGAGTTTTGCTCTTAACAAAGGTGGTCGCACTTTTCTCCTCTCCTCCTCTCCCTTATCTTCCCTGCTTAGCCTCTTATGTCCTTGTCTTGTCTCGTGTTTTTTGTATTACTTTTCCCTGGAACACTCTCTCACAGTCTGTTCTCTAAAACCTAAAAGAGGAATTATGGATTTGATCAACTGGTCCCTGAATGCAATTGACACCCCTTTCTCAACGAGAAGTCTGGGCTCGGGTGAGCCTGAGTGCTGAAGAGATCTACCTGTTTGGAACCATGGTAACAGGGTTCTTGCTGATCGGAGCTGGCTTGGCCCTGACTTATCGAAGAATTAAGAAAGCGGAACCAGCTGTTCAAACCCCCACAAGGCTGCCCGCTGGGATTCAAACGATGGGAAGAGGCGTGAGTTTCTCAAAATGAGCTCATTGAGTGCAGCATGGATAAGATCTTGGAGAAGCTTACGGCTGCTGTGAATACTCAGAATAAGACTTCTGAGTGCAAATTGGATCACATCTTGGAGAAGCTCACTGCGGTCGTTGTTAACTTGTTATTTTCTGTTATATTGTGAGAGTACTGTTGCCTGCAAAGGGTTGTTGTTGGTGTGGAGAAAAATGGCGTAACAAATAAAGCGCTTGGAGTGAGACCACGACGTCGTGTCTTTGAGTTCTCAGAATCGGCTCTCTGAGCACAAGAATGACAACATCACGGAGCGCAAGTTTGATAACATCATGGAGAAGCTCACGGCTCTCCAATGGGAGATTGAGAGACCAGTGTCGGAGTGTTAGAACAGCTTTGAAATTCATATGAGCTGTTCGCACTAAAGTAAAAACTTCCATCACTTATGCGGATACCCCTTCGGCCCCAGCTGTGGGCTCAAGGCTGGAGCCGAACAACAACTCCCTGATAACGACTGTGTTTAGACTGTTCTTCCCACTCCATGCAAGGCCACCTGGGTTGGCTGGAAGACTGTTTACTTAGCCTGGCAGGGAGGAGGACACTGTCTCAGCTGAACTCTGGACACGCACACACTTACACAGACATATATATACACATGCAGATGTACACTCCTCCCCCCTCCAAACGCCTTCGACGCTTATTCCCCTCCGATGCTGACGGTGGATCAAGGACACCAGCGCACGCAGGCCCGGATGTACTGTCTACACTGGCTGTCTCTCACCCTTTACCCATCCCTGTTGCTTGTCATGTGTTTCTTTCGTGTATTAAGAGTTTTTTCATGTGCAGAGGTGTTTTTTTCTGTTCTCAAACTGATCTCCCTGTTGGAGCTCAGTCTGGGGGGAGTTATTTTTTTCTCCTTATCTTTCCTCATGTGGTGCATTTTCCATTGTTACACCTCTCTGACCTGTCTTCCCCATGTGATGTTTGTGTCATGTATGTATGGTCAGAAGGGTAAGATGGCGCTGGCAAAGGTCGGCAGCCTTAACCCAATTTCCATCGGGGTCAGCCTTCAGGATCAATAAAGTTTTATTGAATTGAATTGAATTATGTGACCAAACTATGTTAAAGTTAAAGCGTATTGTTGTACCTATGCATTACACTGGAGCAGAGCTTACATACATTCTTACCTGCTTACACTCATCATTCATTCGTCAAACTGAATAAAATGGCAATAAAATAGGGTGGCTGCAGCTCAGGCAGTAGAGCGGGTCGTCTACTGATCGGAAGGTTGGTGGTTCAATTCCTGGCTTCCCCCAGTCTGCATGCCAAATATCCTTGGGCAAGATACTAACCCCAAATTGCTCGCCGATGCATTCATTGGAGTGTGTGTGTGTGAGAGAGAATGTTACTTAGAAAGCACTTAGAAAAATGTGCTTGTGCGAATGGGTGAATGCACAAGTTGTGTAAAGCGCTTTGAGTGCTCAGAAGAGTAGAAAAGCGCTTTATAAGAACCAGTCCATTTACCATTTAACCAGAGGAGTATTGCACTGGTTGGATGGCAGCAGCCATGGAGGGAGGGTGTAATTGTCCCGTGTTATGCTGGTGTTTCGTATTAGATGTAAGCTTACATTTGGCAGCATTAGTGAACATTATACTGAATGTTACACAGGAGTGTCTCAGGTAGGAGGGAGGCTCACTCGGTCCATTCACTGAGCTTAGTGTTCAGTGATCGATGGTCCAGGGGAAAAGCTGTTTTTTTAGCCTGGCTGTCCTGTTTCTTGAACAGGTGCTGTCCAGGATGAGATGAGATTTGATTGGCTCTCCTGAGACAGCGAGTGCTGACCATGTCCTCCAGGGAAGGAAAGGGACAGGCACTATTCTTCTGTGCTGTCTTAATAACCCACCGAGCAGTTAGCATACCAAGCTGTTAGCAGTAGGTGGGGACACACTATGGTGCTGTGGTAAAAAAGCCACCAAGACTTTCTTCTCCAGATGGTGGTTCCTCCTCCTCAGCATCCTGAGGTGGAGTCTTTGACTTTGGACCATGAGAGGTCCTCAGCTACGTGAGTCCCCAGGAACGAGGACACTCGCTGAACACAGTCTGCTTGATGTGGAGAGGAACGTGTTTCCCTCTGCTGAGGTCACATCTCCTTAGTTTTGATGGCGCTGAGCAGACGGTTGTGTTCATTGCAGCAGCCTGTCAGGTTTTTAACCTCCTGCCTGTTCGCCGTCTTCTCCACTGATGATTGTCGCATCATCAGCAAATGTAACGATGGTGTTAGAGGGGCAGGTAGGTGTGAACTCATGAGTGTACAGGAGAGCAGGCAAAGACGTCTGTGGATACTTTATGAATGCAGATGATAATATTCTGCCAGCGTTTCACAGACTTGTTCAGCAAACTTTAAACACACTTCACGCTTCTCTTTTTTTCTGTGGCTCTTGCACACATATTGTTTTCTTTGAAACAGTCGTACCTGCTGATTCCAGGCCTTTCTGTGGCTCTTCATAACTGGGCCTTGACTCTTCTGATAATTCTTTTCACTGGTCTGTGTGAAATCTCGTGGCCCATTTATGGTGAAAAAATATTCTTTCCACTTTACCAAAAGTGCGCTGGAACCTTCAGTAGTTCTACTGTGACCACTGCCACCAGCATGTTTTGCAAAAGTCTTGAGAGAGCTCGTTGTTTTTACCCATCATGAGACGTTTGTTGTGTGAAACCTGAATAATGAGACCATCAGTTGGGACTGAACCAGCTGATATTTGATTTGATATTAATTGGCGAGGTCTGTGACGAGTTACATGACTCTTTGGTGGCAGGACTCCTGGGATGGAGGTGCGAGTCCCACTGAGTCTGTGGATGTTGTTGGACTGTCCTGGTTTCCCACCTCGGGATAAGCAGACTACAGTAGCGGTTTCCCTTTCTAAGAAGTGGGACTAGGGGCTGTGCTTGAACTTGGGAATGATACTCCAAAGCCTCCCTGGAAGTCTGTGACTGGGTCAGTTCGTTAGTTGAACCTGAGGTTGAGGATATATTTTCAGCCCTGCAGCTCCTCTACCTGCTGTCAGATGGTGACGGCATACAAAGTATCTGGTACCACTGTCCTCTGTGTGCTGCTGTTGGTCCATCAGCTGTGGAGAGAGTGAAGAATAACTGATAATGAAAAGTTGTTGTTCTCGTTGAACTCTGTTATTGCTGCTTTATTCGTGGCCAACACTCAGCAGATATTGGCATCAGCCGATTTCAGTCGGGATCTCAATGGAGTTCATGGAAGAGCAGAACCTATTTGCAAACATTTGTGGAAACACATTTTGAGACCAGAGGAGATGGATTTGTCAGAGCGGGGGCCCCCAGGCTGTGGAGTGCTTTGCCTCCATCATTATGTTGCCTTGATTGCATTTATTTTTAATAAACAGCAGCTTGTAGAGACTCATTTATTTTAGCCTGGCTTTGAACTAGATTTGTGCTGTTTCATTATTATTGTGAAGCACTCTGTGGTTCTTATCCTGTGCCATATAAATAAAGTTCAAATGCTGGATGTCTGTACTTTTGTCCAGCCTTCAGCTGTCCAGCTGAGCCGGACACTTTAGAATCGGGCTTTGGTCTTGGTTGTCAGTCATGTTGGATCTCCGTCCGTCTCTAATAACAGACAAATGACCAAAATGTAAAAATCCCAAGTAACATAATACCAGGCACAAAAGCCCCTGCAGTGTTTTGTGCCGTGCTCTAACTAAAAACTTTGCTTGGAAATTGGTTTAAGCAGTATTTGTTTCTCTGTTAACACAACTGGTGTTTCCACTCATATCCATCTCTGTGCATTCCTAATCTTGCAGGGCTGGCAGGTGGAGCTCCTGATCTTCGCTGTTGTCTTTTGCATCAGAAGTTCCAGGTAGCCACACAGTGCAAGGACTAATTGAACGATTTAAAAGACAAAAAACAACATCATGCACATTTGTAGACTTGCAACTTTAATTCCAGTGGTTTATCAAAAGTGTTGTGTTAACTTTGATAATTGGAACGATGTTTAGGTGATAAAGAGAAAATGAATTCTGAGAGCTGATGCTCAGTGTGATACAGCATCTTCAAACTCCCAAACACCTGTTTATGTCGTGTTGTCTGTTGAACACAAGTAGCAGTGTTATGTTTCCATGTGTGAAAAGAGTTTTTGTTCCTGGACAGATGCTGAATTGTTGTATCGAAAGGAAGAAGGCCAGAGATGAATCTCACAAGGTACCCGAGGGGAAAGAAAAGGAACACAGGGTCTCAGGTGCCTGCCAGAAGAGCCGCCAAGGACCAGAGTGTGCAACCAGTGCTTCCAGTTCAACAAGAGAGATGTCTCAAGGAAAATCCTGGGACTCGTGGAGTGACAGCGAGGAGGAATTCTTGAGTGCCTGAGTGACCAGGCGAGACTGAGGCGACACAAGCTGAGGGCAGAGCTGAGGGCAGGCTGCACCCCTACAACAACATGACTCTGCTCAACTCTGCAGAGCCTCTCTGTGTTCACAGGTCACCACACAGGTCAGAGTCACTGCCTCACTGTGCAAACACATCATATGCTGTTATTTATTCCAAATACAGCATGTTGAAAATAATAGTCGGGTCACATGGGGTGGAGCCTATCCCATACCATAGGGCGAGAGGCGGGGTTCACCCTGGACAGGTCGCCAGTCGCAGGGCGAACACAGAGAGACAGACAAACATTTAACCCAGGGGTGGGCAACTCCAGGCCTCGAGGGCCGGCGTCCTGCAGATCTCACCCTGTGTCAACACACCTGAATAGATGGTTAGTTCAGCCTTGGAGAACTTCCACGATAAGGATAAGCTTTATTTGTTGGTTGCCTGCAACTGAGATGACCTAATCGACCATACATACAATGTACAAAACTTAACATTGGGGATACAGGTCAGGCTAACTAGCAACAAAGGATAGCCCTAACCCAAGACACGTTGAGGAGGTCATTAGCCATTTAAATCAGCTGTGTTGGATCAAGGACGCATCTAAAACCTGCAGGACACCGGCCCTCGAGGCCTGGAGTTGGACACCTCTGATTTATGCTCTCATTCACACCTGTGGGCAGTTTAGAGTCAGAGTTAACCCAACCCCACTCGCTCCATGTTCAAAGACCTGCAGTTAATAATTAGAACTAAAAGAAAGCGGTTGTAACAGTACAGAGGCGACCTTTGTGTGACAAAACCATGAAAGCAGATCTCATATAAGTGGTTCACAGAAATGTCATTAACCTCAGCTGAAGCTGACTGAGTCTGATATCTGTGCGTCATGTTTCATTTTCAGGAACCTGCTCCAATGACAGAGGACCTGTTAGCAGAGCAGTCAGAGGTACTGACCAAACTGGGCACATCAGCTGAAGGTACCAACCTGCGTGCTCGGATGCAGAGTGCCTGTCTGCTATCTGACATGGAGTCCTTCAAAGTGAGTCGGACACACTCTGGGTCAGCTGTCTCCTAAGTTTCTTAGTGCTTCGTGTCTAACATCCACACTTAGACGGACACATCGGAGAGCAGCTTGGGGTTAGTATCTTGGCTATGGGGCGATTGTGGCTCAAGAGTTGGGAGTTCGCCTTGTAATCGGAAGGTTGCCGGTTTGAGCTCCGGCTTGGACAGTCTCGGTCGTTGTGTCCTTGGGCAAGACACTTCACCCGTTGCCTACTGGTGGTGGTCAGAGGGCCCGGTGGCGCCAGTGTCCGGCAGCCTCTGTCAGTGCGCCCCAGGGTGGCTGTGGTTACAATGTAGCTGCCATCACCAGTGTGTGAATGTGTGTGTGAATGGGTGGATGACTGGTTGTGTAAACCTAGGGACTAGTAAAG